TATTGGTAGGTGTAAACTACCTGGTTGGGGACCACGAGATGATAGTAACCGATGGTTAGAGACCCTGAATCACATCGCTCAAAATCGTTTGCAATAGCGCAGGTACATCCATTCCTTGTGTTCTTCCAAATTCTAATCTTCTGAATTCTTCCTGTTCCTTTATTTTTTTCTCTCTTCCCAAATTTATTTCACTGGATTATACTCCTTGAATAACATCATTGAACCCTAATGTTTCCGATTACTGTTTATACTCTTACTATCTCTACCACTATGGGATTTGAATCGACCACTGCATCTCTATGCTAATGTGGTATGGCAACTCGAACTGATGTATGTACATACGAAATTCTACATTGTTACTGACTGACTGACTGACTAACTGGATTGGATGGTCAATGCTGGTGAGCGGTCTATGCTCCTTCATAAGGAGTAACAGGTGTATATCAATCAATCGATCAATCAATTTGTTTATTTATATCCATCCATATATATCAATGTTTATGTTTACGTGAATAGATGAGTAAATAAATAATTAGCTGATTGATTGATTGATTGATTGATCAAAATTCAATAATATCGATTATAAACTAAAATTCACTTAAGGATAATTTTAATTATTGAGATTGAAAAACAAAATTTTTTTAAAAAAACAACAACAACAGCAGCAGCAACATCAGAATCTACTTGATGAATGATGTAAGCGAAGAAGAAAAAAAAATTTTTTTTAATTTTTTAAATCAATAGGGTGAAAATGAAAAATTAGTTGCTATGTTGTTTTTTTTTTATAAAAAAAAATGGGAATAAGGGAATAACATTAATGACTGAAGAAGACTGACGACTACGATAATAAAAATAATGACAAAAAAACTGGGGGGGGGGTGTTATTGTTTTTGTTTTATGTGTGACTTTTCTATTTTAAAAAGAAAAAAAAACGAAAAGAAAAATGGAAGGAGGGAAATAAGATCTTCTCACCATTATCAATGGGAATATTGATTTTAATGTATCCAGATCAATAAATTATTGTATAAATAGAAAAAAACAACAACTTGTGAATGAACAAATTGATTCAATTAAGAAAAAAATATTCATATCAGAAGAGGTTTTTGTGGATATTATAATAATAATTTCAATGGTTGAGATCATGAGTCAATTTCATACTAGATCACCATGAAAAACCTGGAAGTATTGGACGTCTGTTACATCCTATTGTGGGACTCCTCAGTGGTAGTATGCATTCACGATACTGCTCCCCCCCCCGCGAGATTCGAACCCAGGGTCTATCGGTCTCGGGCATGAGAACGCTTAACCTCTAGACTACTGAGCTAGCTGAAATCCAATGGTGTTAATGTCTAACTTCAACTAATCCATGAAATTGAGTGACACATCCATGATGATCTGGCTTCAATTGATTCATGATCTCAATCATTGAAATCTTAAAAAAAATATTCCTAGAAATTCTCATTTTCGTTTTGAATAAAAACTGTACAAGTGGTTTTAGTATAATGGATTGGTAATTAAGATGTTCACTATGATCAACTCTAAGTTAATTTCTTTTTTCAAATTACCTTTAAGAGAACCCTTCAATGGTATAGGTAATCAGGAAGTGATAATTGCCTTCATACCTTTAACAACATTCAAGATCACTGTCTCTATAGTCATATTCAACTTTCAAACAAAAAGTCCCATGTTCGAATAGTTTTCTATTTACGTCAAGTTTAGACAACTGGATAGTAATATACTAGTGTATGATTTGTAGCCAAATACATAATTCTATATATGATAAATGAATTCCTTATATATCGGTTTATCTTAAGTTTAGTCATCATTCATTAATTATTATGATTAATAATGATCAATGGTTAAGATTATGAGTCAGTTGAAGCTAGAACACCATGGAAAACCTGGAGGGCCGTTTCGTCCTATTGTGAGACTCCTCAGCAGTGCGTCCCACAATAGGACGAAACGGCCATCCAGTGCTTCCAGGTTTTCCATGGTGTTCTAGCTTCAACTAATTCATGATCTTAACCATTGAAATTACTACAATCTCCACAAAAACCCTCCTGATAATCATGATCAGTCTATCAAAACCTTGATTTATTTTCTATGGTAAAAATGTGAAATATGATCATTTAGATCAATTCAATTATTTGTTATTATACCGTAGAAAGGTGATTTTTTTCCCAAATTCAAGTTTCATCTTTAAGTAAATGTTTACAACAACGAAAATTTGATGATTTTCCATATCAGTTTTTGATGTTCACTCCGAGTTCGAGTCCCAGAGTGATACAATCTCAAAGAGGCCGAAAACCGTGTCCTAGATTTCACTGCTACCCACTATCCATATTTGCTTATAATGCTTGTGAATTAAGACAATATCGTGGCATACGCACAGTATGAACACCAATGGGAAGATTCAAATAAACAATACCAAGTGAATTTAAGATAAGTAATGATGGCGACTATGGTGCCAAGGTTGATAAATCATATGCTATCAGGCAGTCAGTCAATCAATCATAAGTAATGTAAGATCTAATACACAACTGGGACAGTCCAAGTTGTTGAGTTACATCTGCATTATGACATAAAATGATGAAAATGAAAACTCAGACAGTAATAGTTGCAGTTGAAGTATCAGTGATTATAAGAAAGATTAGATATAGAGATTACGATTAGAGAAGAAAGATTTAACTTTTTGAATTTCAGGCTCATTGCAATGAATTTTAAGTCAAGTTACTCAGCATCTTCAACTACTAAATGCGGTTCTAGAGCATGACCTAATCAGATTGTTTTCACTTACGAATATATGTCGAACTATTGGTTAATGACCACATAAACGGATACCATATGTTTAGTTTTGATCTCATTACCTTTCTTGTAAGTTACTCCAGTTTCAGTCTGCACTGCAAATCGAGAAAGACGATGATTGAGTAGATGTGACATGAATTTATCATATTTGGTCAACACTCTTGAGCTAACTTTATTATTGCTCATTCTATAGTCCCAACATTATTCATCAATAAGATCAGTAGCAAAGATTATAAAACTCTCAACAATTCCTCCTTAATTTTTATTCACTATATTGAATCGCTTGAAGTGTTTTCTTCAAATGAATCAGTGAAATCTTTATGTTAGTCAGTCATAATCAACATAGAATTCTCACATATAAATCTAGACAACATGAAATTAACAAGTCAAAATGATAATTTCTCTAACTAGGTCGAAAGTGTTCATCCCGTTGAAGATATTCAATGATTGAACTGAAAAGTTGTCTGGAACTCTTTGTTATTCCTTTTTTTGGTGCCCTAAAATGAGATGTCAATCAGTCAGTCAGTAACAATGTAGAAATTCGTATGTACATACATCAGTTCGAGTTGCCATACCACATTAGCATAGAGATGCAGTGGTCGATTCAAATCCCATAGTGGTAGAAGTAATAAGAGTATAAGCAGTAATCGGAAACATTAGGGTTCAATGATGTTATTCAAGGAGTATAATCCAGTGAAATAAATTTGGGAAGAGAGAAAAAAATAAAGGAACAGGAAGAATTCAGAAGATTAGAATTTGGAAGAACACAAGGAATGGATGTACCTGCGCTATTGCAAACGATTTTGAGCGATGTGATTCAGGGTCTCTATCGGTTGCTATTATCTCGCGGTCCCCAACCAGGTAGTCTACACCTACGAATATGACTCAGTCCATTTGTCAGTGACTTCATGGACTTGTGCCATGTTTCTAAAATGAGATGAATCTTTGATGAATATAATCTATTTATCATATTCTTTCATGTTAGTTACAAAATGTCTTGACTACTATTTTATCATATTAAATGTGATTCAATTAATCATTGAAATACCTTGTTAACATAATAATGATAATAATAAACTATGCAATGACACTTATGATGATGACGATTATAGTCATAGTATATATTACCTCATTGACATGTGAATTTCATTAACTAACCAAACAAAAAAAGAGTTGGATAGATTTCATTGAGAACAGTTATGCAAATGAGTTGAACATATTATTGTTGTAAAAGTACAATGTTGTAGTATTTAGTTAAAATACCGGTAATTTTACATGTATAAGTATAAAGTTTTATTCAGTGATCTCGAGGTTAGGCATTCACAAGGGAGTTCTAAGACCCTGAGTTCGATTTCTTGTACAGGGATTATAGATAGACGTTATTCAGAAGTCTCATCATACGATGAAACAATTATCCAATACTGTTTGGTTTCTAATAGTGGTTTAACTAAGATCAGTTCATAATATGATTTTGATTTTAAAAAATCTCTATAGACTATCTGTATTCACATTGTTAAATAAGAAGTGTTAAAGGTATGATTAACACTTTCCCTGATATTTGAAATCATCTGATTCTGAAATAGAACAAATGATTCAATTCAATCCCTATTTACAACTTTAATCTTGAGATGGTGGAGAAGATTTATAGATCATGTGCATGATTTGGATGGAGTTTTGTTCTCTGAGCTGACACGACCAAACCATCTCAAAATCATATGAGTGTAATACGCTTCTCGTTGTTCGAAAATGAGAGAATTTCACCAAAAGGCAAGCTTCCACTCGAGAACAACTATATATTTTCTCTATGAATGTCTTCGCTAGCATGTTCTACCAACAAGTGTAAGATATAGACTACCAATCAACTTCCCATTAGGATGGAAAATAGCTGAGCAAAGTGAGAGAGAAAAAAAATGGTACACCTAATGATAACGGATGTACACTACAGAATTCACAAATACCAACACGTCATAGAAGACCAAAAAATGAAACTACAAAGGACACTCACATCAGAACACGACCAAATTATCCAGCTCAGAGAACAAAACTCCATCAGCAACTTTAATCTAATCTTCTTATCAAGATAATTAACTTATCTACTATATTGATTCTTATAGAAAATATCAATCCTTTAACTTAGATAAGTAATATTAAATTATATAAATACATATATACATATATTATTCATAATAACTTACCATAAAACTATTCAATGGTCTTGGTATACTATCTTTTCTACGTTTCTTTTTAGATTCAGCTATTGTTGTATATGGACGTAATGCATTAGAACCAGTTAAACGTGATGCTCTATCACTAGGCCATTCAGTTGGTATTGCATGTTCATCAGTTAAATGTTGCATCCATATTTGTAAACCTCCAAGTTTTGCTGTAGAACATTGATCACAATCTTTCATCCACATAATTATTTTCTTATTTTTGTTACTATGCTCAATATATTATGTATGTATAGATAGATAGATAGATGGATATGATATATGTGTAATTGTTTATTCACTGAAAGCACAGTGGTAAATCATGAAGTGAATACAATATTTCTTGGAATGAATTGAAGATGATAAAGTAATGATATTATACATTCAATATGGAATTAACTACATCTATATACATTTGTATAGATAAATGTATGTGTTCAGTTCTGTTCCTTTTTGGCTTCGAGTTTTTCTTCGTCTTCTTTTGTTATTTCTTGATTGAATGACGAAAAATCACTCAAGACTAGACGACGTTACACATTTAAAATAAATGAGGAAATCATCGTATGATTTGACAATTTATAGTTGACAGATTGGGAAGTCTAGAGGTAGAACATAGATAAACCAATGATATATTTTGTGCCCTAGAGCTGTGTGTTTATATACATATATATATATATATGTATATAATGATATACATACATATGTATATGTATGTATGCGTGTGTGTGTATGTGTGTGTGTGTGTCTATTTACAAATCACCATGACACACACAACTCCTATGTGACTATTAACTGTTAATAATAGTAATATTATTAGACAGGGGTTAAATAGGTAGTTTATCTTCTATAACTTAATAGATACGTCTAGGAAAATGATGATGATGATGATGATGATGAGTTCAGCTGAGACTAATTTTTTTTTTGTGTATTGTTTTTATGCATAAAGACACACGTGGCTTACAATATGCTACCTGTATATATCTATATATGTCTATAGAAGATATGTCTATCTATCGATCGATTAATTAAAGGGGAAAATAAATCTTAATTTTACCATCAAAAAACACATGTCTCTTTATCCCCCCCCCAACCACCCACCTAAAATACACAACATTTAATCACGTATTTATGGAGAAAAAAAATTTAAAAAAAATTTTATACATATTTTTTTTGCTTTTTCAAAATGAGCACGTCAACCACATCTACAATCAAAAAAAAAATTATTTTTTTTGTTCTATCAACCAATCACAAATGAGTAAAAGGAATTGGATACTATCAATCTGAATTTTGATTGGTTGATTCAATAATCATAAACATATTTCTATTTTTTAAAAAAAAATAGGGAGAGTGATGAAAAATGATTAATCCAATACATATGTATCATTGAATGGTGGTGGTGTAATTTGTAAAAAAATTTATCAGAAACCAAAAAAAAATAAAGGGATGACATTATCTATTTACCTTCTATCAATATCCCTCTCTCTCTCTCACTCGCTGACACACACACACACACAGTGTTTTTTTGTTGTAAAGAATTTTCGGTTAAATAATCGAGATCATTTATGTAAGAATGAAAGCCCTCAAAATGCCCTGGTATGGCTAAGAGTGAGGAGAGTTCGTTCTCACTCTCCAAATGCTTTCACATGGCCATGCGTATATAGCCTCTGCAAGGGAAGTCCAACTTATTGACTTCTCGTGTCGGGAGTGTTATTCACGAAATCGATATGACGAAAAGAGAATGTCCGGCACTTTAACCAGATCCCAAACCAATGGTGCACATGAATTGTAGGATCCTGAGGGAACAAATGGCGTATGAACCAATTGTTGGTGACCGGCTACCATGAGACTGTATCTCCTTACATTGCTCCACTGTCTTGTGGATCGGACCTTCAGGTCTAAGGCTCTGGGTGTGGCCCCCTAAGAGAAACACCTGCTTCGGTTTGGGCACCCGGGCAGTATCACAGCCCTCTTACATATCAAATGAGATTTGTGTGGCACATATGTATTTGGTGCCTCTTTGTACCAATATCTATGTGTTAAAACAAATAAATAAATAATAAATATGTAAGATTCAATTATTTCGATATATATATTTTTATACTGTATTAAACAATCCGAGAAATTGGGAAAATGCTTTTATGTATATTATGTAATATAATGTATGTATATATATTTTAACAGTTGAGAGTATGAATTCATTGAAGATAGACCACCATGGAAAACCTGAAAGCATTAGACGGGCGTTTCGTTCTGTTGTGGGATTCCTCAGTCGCAATGCACATCCAAGATCCTGTCGCATGGAATTCGAACGCAGGACCTATTGGTTTCGTGCTTGAACGTTTGACCTATAGACCACTGAGCTGGCCGGCATCCAACGGTGTTAATGTCTAACTTCAAACAATTTATGAAATTTAACCATCGTTCATCATTGTCCTCAGTGAGTTACTATCACACAACAGATACAGTTGAACTTCATTGACCACGGCTTCTTACTAGAACTTCATGAACTACCTCTTTAAGCTAGTCACTAGTGAACATACAATGATTAATATGAGAAGGGGCTTTGTGGAGATTTTACTAATTTAATAGTTGAGATCATGAGTCAATTGAAGCTAGACCACCATGGAAAACCTGAAAGCACTGGAAGGGCGTTTCGTCCTACTGTGGGACTCCTCAACAGTACGCATCCACACTCTCGTATATATCTTTTGGTCAAATTATAGAATAATCCAGACTAGAAAAATAACTAAATTATAACCATAATCATCAGATATAACTGTCATCCGATTTTTCTAATATCACAGAAATCGAGAGGATAAAAATTGATAATAATAACTACTTCGTATTTACTGGTAAATCAGTATAGGGTTGTCAGGATTGTTAAGTTTTAATTATGATCATTAATGGATCAATGTTAGGTCACCATTGAAAACTTGAAAACACTCGACCGTCGTTTCGTACTAGTACGTGACTCCTCAGCAGTGCGTACCTCATCAATATAAATAATGAGTTCAGTTACCAAAAGACATTAAACCATATTATAGGCCTTAATTATTTAGTCCATTATCTCATAAACCGTTTCGACTCATTAACAGTGCACATCCACGATCGTGCCTCGCGAGGTTCGAACCTAGGGTGTATCAGTCTCGCAAGCGAGCGCTTAATCCCTCCTCCTCTCTCTCTCTCTCTATATATATATATATATATATATCTTCATCTGATTGTCTCGGCATTACCACCAAGTCAAACAAGCTAAGTTGGACATTGATTAATAACGGATTGTAGAATTCTATTTTGTTAATCTGATTAATGACAAATGTGATTATTAAAAAGCTTTTAGCATAAATCTAAAATGTCATTTAAAGTCAATCTCTATAGAATTCCACCTTTAATCTAAGTTATGATTACATTAATAATGAATAAACAAATCCTAAACTTCAGTCATGTGTAAATATTCAAGAGTTAGATATAAAAATTTTCAATGTTTGTTTCTATCAGTAGATATTTTGTTATTGTGATAATCTATTCTGATCTTTTTCCACTGATTGTTTATTCTGGTTGGTGTTTTTTTCTTTCTGGTAAGGTTGTTTTCTACGAGATGAGGTCACTAACCTCATACTCAACCTTTCTGTTTTACCCGGGCTTGAGACCGGTAGTAAATCTAGAAGAACTACAGTTGAAAGTCATCAAACTGCATCATGAAGCAAGTCCTAACTTGAAATCTTGAAAGAAAACAGAAAAGAGAAAGTCGAAAGAACACATTGAGTCAAGAATTGGAAGTAGACATGAAAAAGATGAATTGCAATTGGAAACAACTGGAAAGGAATGTGAAGGATACAGTTTGATTTAGAATGCTGATTGATGGCTTATGCTCCTTCATGAGGATTAAAAGACGTAAGCAAATAAGTAGTAGTCAGAATACCTCTTAACATTCTTTTGAATATTATTAAAACTTGTAATTTCTTATCAGCCATTCATTTAATTCTAAATCATTGATTAGTATTTGTTAATGTGTATATATGAGCGACTGATTATCTTTGCATAGACCACATTCAATGAAAGCCTTTACATTTGACATCATTATAATTAACTTGTTATAGTAACGTCGGGAATTGGAAACAAACATGAAAAGGATGAATAGTAACTGAAAAGGATTTCCCAGTTCAAGGTTGGATGGAGAGTACAGGTGGGCGGATTATGTTCTTCCACGAGGGTTAACAGGAGTAAGTAAGTAGTTCTAACAAATTAAATACAACTATGTAAAACCGCATAAGTATTACTACCATTTATATTATTGAAGACATTGATATTATTAATATGCATTAATTTAGATGTAAAGAAATTAAAGAAAATATTATAATACAAAGAGATATAAGAACACAATAACCAATTAAGATTGAAGTCTACAGGATAAGTTGATAGTCATATATGTAGAAATTCGAATACACTTCCCATCTACCTATAGTTTATACTGATAATGTCATTCAGAAGAATGATTAAAAAGCTCACAACAATCAAAACCATTCAGTTCACAAAACAAAACTTCATCGAATTCCGCTAGTGGGATCGTGATTGCGCACTGTTGAGGAGTCCCACAATAGGACGAAATGACCGTCCAGTGCTTCTAAGTTTTCAATCGTAGTTTAACCCAAAACTTAATAATCTCCACAACCCTAAACTGATAATTACCATGTACTCACTAGTGATTAGCTTCGTGAGGGAATTCTCATAGTTCTAGTGAGAAGCCGTAACCATTAGACCTAATCCGTGTTAGGTAGAAACAGGTGTCTACCTTAGTACAATGGGAGATTTCGTGGATCGGTTTAGGTTAGACATTAACACTTTTCGATGCCAACCTAGTGGTGTAGAGACTAAGTGTTTTGCACGCGAAACCGATTGTTCTGAGTTCGAATCTCACGAGAGGGGTTGTGGATGCGCACTGTTGATGAGTCTCACAATAGAACAAAACGGCTATCCAATACTTTCACGTCTTCAATAGTGGTCAGTTGTATATATTTTAAGATGATAAACATGTACGCATATAACCATCCACCCCACACACACACATACACAACACATTCAAAGACAACATCAATAACACTAATATAATCAATGAAATAACTTTTGAGTCTGGTATTTGGGCGTATCCACTTTCGAATTATCAAGCTTAGAATGAAGAAGATAATCATTATGTCAATAGAAATTAATCAACATTATTAATAATAATAATCATAATGGTAATCTTATTTATGTCTAAGTATTTAATTAATTTATTTACAATTTATTCTAGAATATTAATTTCTATGTTGTTGTTGTTGTTGCTGTTTGTTTTTGTTTATTTGTTAATTTAGAAAACAAGAAAGAATATTGTTCCATTTAATTTAATTTAATGCATTAAGATCTTGAGTCCATTGAAGCTAGACGATCATGGAACTCTTCAGTAATGCACATTCATGATTCCATAGGTTCGAACCTTACGAAGCGAAATTGTAGATGTGCATTGCTACTGAGGAGTCCTATAGTAGAACGAAACGACAGTCCAATTTTCC